TACAGCAATCACTAAAAATATGAGGAAAAGACAGACTAGTAGATGAGCTCTGAGATTAGCATACACATTACCTCATCTTGCTACATCACCACAGTGTATTTTAGAATTAATTTGAACACAAAGATGGAAGGAGCCTTTACAGATAAGCTCAGCAGTGCATTACAGATGAAGGAGCTTGTGCAGAGTTAACACATGCAGAAGCAGTGTGGAAGCAGTGGCAAAGTGCAACATAGTGGAGTGGAAAAATGGAGAAACCCTTGCTTTCCTAAACAAAGGGACACACTTATCCTCAAATTGGGTGACAAAGACTGAATGTGATGGATACTAGGTAGGAGACAGGTATCATGTTCAGAAAAATCAGCAGGCAAGGAAGATTACTTATGATAGCTACAACTGGTAAAAAAACAGAACTAAACTACTCTGACATCAATGAACTATAGTAACGAAAACTACTCTGACATCAGGGAACACACCCTGTAAAGACAACATGCACTGCACGAATGGCTTGCGGCTAGCCTGGAAAATGAATTCCAAATAAAAAGTAGGTCACTCTGTCCAGTCACTGCTTAAAAATGAACTGCACAAAAATCTAATTTCTATTCTGATAGAGACGTGTGGGACCGAGGTCAGAATCTGGTTCTACAACCTTAGGTCACTGGAGTTTCAACAATGTTACAGAAGTAGTCAAAACCAAAGCCTGGGCTGAGAATTTGAAAGTGTAAAGTCATGTTCAGGAGAGCATGGTTAGAGTCCAACCTCTTCCACTGTTACTAAGAAGAACGGCAGGAAGGAAATACCACATCAGAACATTTAGTCAGAAACCAACACAAAAGTTTTCTCTTTTGGACCAACCTGTGAATACATGTAGATTCTTTAAAGAGACTTGGGTTCCAACTCAAATAAATAACATCATAGTACTGGCAGAGGTCTTCCCAGGAAATCCAGAAAATGCCTAAAAAGGAAATGCTATTATTGTTTCCTTATCAGACACCTTGATTTTTACTTGTTTTTCAAAAGTCTGTTTCCAGGCAAACTATACAGCTTATATAAACCAACGTTTCTGTAAAATTTAGTAGTAATGTCTGTGTTGCCCAAATTTCTAAATTTAAACTTAACCACTGAAACAAACAACTTAAACCAAGAAAAACAAGTTACTCTGTGCTTATCATCAGGGACTTTCTGAAGCTGTCAAGATGCTTTTCATTCTCAAGTACTAAGCAGAAGGCATGAGAGAATCTGTTGTATTGAAAGAGACATCATTAATTAATTGACCTGCGTTCCCCTTTCCTAGATTTTGGGGGGGGGGGGATTTGAAAGAATGACATAGTCAGACAGGTTTCCCCAATTCAACAGTACTTCAGTAGTCATCCAGCACAATCAAGTATTCAAGCAACAAGTGAGTACATTTTAACATATATCTAATGTATTTCATCCAACATCCACGTGACTTGCTTAGCACTCTGAATCTGCTTCATCTTTGCAACATTCTCACATGTTTATTCTAATTCTCTATAGCTCCCTTAATTGCAACTCCAGCCAACACTAATGCCTGTAAGCTGACAGACTCCTGATGAAATGAACTCTCAGAAAGGTAACAGCCTTATAATTCAAGTCTCTGACACAGACAGTTGCAGATCTTGCAGTACTAAAAAAAAAAAAATTGCAGTCAGAATAGCTACACACTTAGACAAGACCAGAATGTAAATCCAGGCAAAAGAAACAACTCCCTTAAAATTATTAACGTAATTTTATATAAGTTTTAACTACTAGATGTTAGAGATACAGATTCCTTACCAGATGAACTGGTAAATAAATAATGAGCCCATCTCTCATAACTGTCACAAAGCCAGGGCTGCTATTCTTATGTTTAAATCAAAAGCATTCCTTAAGCATTTGCATGAGGCTTATCATTAAATGCTATAATTTAATTGTTTTGGATGCATACTGTTGTCAAAATAGAGCGGCACTGAACAAAAGGGCTCCCTCACAGAGCTACACAGGCAGCACCTAGGATACTATAAAAAGAGCGGACATCTCTTTCTGAATGTAAAACGCAGCTACTGCGGAATTTCTAAACTGTCAGCAGCCTGCGCTTCCACCAGTGAACCATGCTGACTTTCCAGATGCTGCTCTCTGCTGCTCCGTAG